CACCGGCTGCTTGCGCGGACCTGGCCAGACCAGAGCGGCGCTGGCTCCCGTGCAAGGGCCCCCGAGGGCCGTCGCGGTAGCTAGCCCGGAGCAAGGCCTACTCTGCCCAGACCGGAGCCCGGGGCCTGGCCCGCCCAAGCACCCACCTGTGGGCTCGCGGCACTTGGCCTCCTTCAGGTAGAGCAGGGCCTTGTCACAGTCTCCCAGGTGGTAGAAGGCGATGCCCGCGCGGTACATGGCTTTGAAGTTGCCCTTCTCCTTGGCAAGCACCTTGAGACAGTATTCCCGGACTCGCTCGTAGTTCACCAGCTCCGACTGCAGGAGGCAGGCTGCGGAAAGGCGCCGAGGCGACGGATTGGCAGAGGGCCCTTAGACCCCCCAGCCCTGTTGCCAAGCTCTTCTTCCCTGCCTTCACCAGCAGTGGGCCCTGGCATCGACTGAACCGCCAGGGAGATGTCAGGGGCAGTTGGGGGGAGCACACTTCGCTTGATCTGGCCCGGAGCCAATTTGTACCTCAGATTGCAGCGAATAGGAGGAGATCATATGCTTCCCTTCTAGAGACAAGATAACGCCCCCCGCCCCTGTACCATTCTGCTAACCAACGAGGCTGCTGTATGGCTCTCTGCTTTTTCCAAGACCAACTATTTTGGGTTCCCCCCTTAAGCTGGGATGGGTCTATTTCTTCTTCCTCCTCCTCTCCTAATACCAAGCTCTTTTTCTTTTTCTTTTTCTTCCATGAGACAAAACCACAAAAGTTGTTGAAGTTAATTTCAGGCTACAAAACCCACCTGGAATGACCACCACAGCTGCCATACTGCACACCAAGAATGCAATAAGGAGTGCAAAATCTAGCCACCTGTTTCCTTTCTAAAAGGGCCTGCCATGGCAAAACCGCACTTAAGCAACAGGGCCCCTCGAAGAGACTTTGTGAAGATGCCAGCTGCCCAGGAGGTGAGGGTGAAGGAGAAGCCACTCCGTTCTGTGCCCTTCTCTCAAAGCAAGCACTTGTCTTGCCGATGGCCAGTTTGCTGCACCAGACATCCCGTGCCATTTTATACATATTGGCCGGAACCACCCAAATCATCAAGGGACGTGAGCCCCCGCAAAGCACTTTGGGGTGTAGTGGTCAGAGGGTCGGGCCAAGCAAGGCACAGAACGTGTCCCTTGGCTGTGAAGCTCCCTGGGTGTCTTTGGGGCAACTGTGCTCTCTCAGCCTGGCTGCCTTACAGGGGAGTTTTAAAGGTACAGTGAGCAGCGTGACTCCATTGAAAGGCATATGTGATGACATTAAGGGGAAGAAACTACAGGAAAAAAACGTTTTTAATTGATACTCAGTGTCTGAATGACAACATTAAGAATGGTGGCACCTTTTCAAGCTTTGCACGGTTGCCGTCGGCCTCTGGAAAAGCCCGGGCTTCGCAGGCGGCAGTGCTCGGAGCAGCCCCCTGCGCTGAAGGCGCTCCCTCCAGTTGGGCGGGAGGGGCCGGGGCCTTCTGCACCCAGCACGGGGCCAGGACTACGCGGCTTCCTCCTCCCTCCCACCTCCGCGGCAGGGGCGGGCTCTTACCAGTCAGGCTGTCGTAGCACTCGATCTCGGTGCTGTCCGCCTGCTCCCGCTGCTCGGCGGACAGGCGATGCCAGGCGACCAGCGAGCTGCCCTTTGCGGCAGCCGCCGCCTCCGCCGCCTCCTCAGCAGCTGGCGGCTCCAGGCCCTTAAGCTGCAGCAAGGCTCGGTGGTACTTGCCGATGGCTTCGCGGAGCTTCTTCTGCTTGTAGCAGCGGTGCCCCTCCGCCTTGAATTCCACCGCCCGCTGGAGCTTGGCCTCCAGCTCGGCCGCTGCGCGGTGGGCCCCGCAGCCCCCGCCGCCCGCCCCCAGCGCCAGGGCGGCCCCGCCGGCCTCCGGGCAGCTCTTCTTGTACGGGCTGCGATCTTCCATCCCCGCCTTCAGAGGCCAAAGCCCATGCCTAGCCAACGCCTGCTTCCGCCGGTCGGCGAGCCGGGAGCGCAGCTGTGCGTAGAGGGAGGGACGCGGGAGAGCCACGAGCGCCTCTTCAGCACCACGGACAGCGCACCAGTGCATTGTGGGAGACTCCTCCCGCATCAGCACCGGCAGCCTGACCTCGCATGGCTCGGGACCAAAGCGGGAGGGGCGGCTCCAGGCAGCGCTCCAGCGGGAGGACGGCCGCCCCAGCTGACGCTGTTCCTCACCAAGGGGCTCGATACAACTCTGCAGAGCGTCCGCGTCTCCAGCGATTTCCAAGCCGGTCTCCAAGCGAGTGCGTTCCACTAGTTAGGAAAGTGGTGCCAGGAGGGAGCTGCGGGGTCAGACCACGTGCTGGTCTGAGTTTGCTTGCCTTTGGTTTAAAGGCATTGTAAGGAGGCAATCAATGGCGGTGTGTTCGCAACGCCACAGTTAGTAACTGATGGCTTATTGCTACGTGTGAACTGATTAAACTGACGTTGGAATGGGTTGTAATGTCATTGGAAGAGGAGAGTTAAAAGCCTTGGATCCCCCCCAGCATGGTCAGCCTCTAGCCGCAGCAGCAGCTCCTACCCCCACCCACCCCGGCTTCAAGCAGAAGCTTCCTTCTGGGAGAAGCTCCTGGGGGCTGAGCCATGAAGCCTGCCTCCCCCCACCCCTGCACTGTAACTTGGGTCTTCCCAACTCCATGTGAGGGAGAGGCACCCTGTTCTTCTGCTGACAGAACCCCAGGCCCAAGCAAAGCTACAGGTCTTGCTGGAATGAGAAAATGCCCCAAGAGGAGTGTTCTGGAAAGAATAAAACACTTTATTAGACATACGAGGTCCCTTTGCTTACAGTCTCTTTTTTGCTTCAGTCATTCGGAGGGGGGGGGGGATTGCCCTTGCACCTGCTCAGCCCACGTCTCAAGACACAAGGGAGAGGGTTGAGACAGACAGACAGACAGACCAGGATGAGGCGGGAGAGCTTTTTGTATGAAGATGTATCTTGAAGAAAGAAAAAGAGGGAAGGGGCACCACTGCCCTCCCCAGCATAGAGTCAATGCCACACCCATCTCCCACCTGTTTGGACCGTGGGACGATGCTTGGCTTCCTGCGCACACCATTCCCACGCAGTGGGAAGGGGCTGTTCAAATATCACCCGTGGCAGTCCTCCTTCACAAGGTGGGATTCCCCAGGCAGAGGCGCAGGAACCTAGGGGCAGACATGGCAGG